TGTATATATATATATATATACACACAGACATTCATCACACCGACTTACCTGTTTTGCGACCGCTCGCACTTACGTCCGACCTTACGTGTGGTAATGTGGCAGCGTCAGTGTGATGTCTCGCCGGCGGAAGTGATGTGCTCCATTCTTCACCACGGGTCTCGGTAAGTACTTTATTGCCCGATGTACAGTACACTGTTCAGTACTGTACATCTGCAACACTATACAGTACTGCACTAATGCAGTACAGTACTGTATAGAGTACCTCACTTAACGACCAATTCGTTTAACGACCTGGTCGTAGGAATGGAAATTGGTCGTTAAGTGAGGAATACCTATTATATATTTGAACATAAACATATTCATTTCGGCAAGGTGCAAAATGAATTATGTGTGTGACAAAGTGATGTAACCTTTGCAATCAATTATAAATTCCATTACCAAGTCATAAAGATGAATTCTGATCACTAAGGGTTACTGTACTTCCCTCTTTGTCAGTTTAGTTGGCATCATCTTAAAAAATACACCTCCATCCATTTTTTTGTTTTGGATCCAAAACAGAGACATTTCAAAGAAAAATAATTATGTTAATATCTAGGAAAGCCTGATTACAAATGATTAAAAAAAAATACCTGTCTTGAGGAACAGTTGATCCAGAAAGCTTAACAATCATAGGGAAAATATCCATATTGCTTGTTGGTTCGTTAATAACAGTACCGGCTTCTATAACTCCAGGCCATTGAATAAGTCCAGGGACACGTATTCCACCTTCCCAGCAAGTAGCTTTTCCTCCTTAAATATAATATTTATAAATGTATCAATTATATTGCATTACACTAAGAACCTAAACCCAACCACTAAAATCTTATATAATATTTAACATGTTAAATTTTGAGAGCTGTTTCAAATCATCTTAAATTTGCCTATTTTACTTTAGTGATGCTCCTGAAAGGTCTCCCTGGCACACATGCCTCTGAAAAAGTGACTACAAGCAGCCATGCCAACAAGCATTGTGCTGGCATGGTCTACTTTTGTCACAATCAGAAAGCCAATCCAGAGCTATGATGGACAGTCTACAGTAGAGCCAGAGCCACGTAGACATGAAGTGGTACAAGAAGGCTAAAGAAGAAGGTCAGCAGAACTAAGATGAAAAACCCTGCACCCCCCTGTGATCAGCTCATCAGTCTTCTGCTTCTCCTTTACTATCCAATCATAGGCTGACATGGGGTAACCTGGTTTTTATGCTTTTCTGCAGTTGTGGAAAATCAGTTCACCAGTCTAGATGTGCCTTCTACCAGGCCTAGGTAAATCACAGCGCTGGGTGGATGGAAACACAAATCCTTTGGCAGGCAATGCAGCTTATGTATTCTGGGTATTTAGGTATCTGCCTGTAGTTCAGCTACTCAACAATATCCTGTTTCTCTATTAGAGCCCTTCATTATTATAGGACTGTTAAGGATAACTGTAAGCTAATTGCTGTAATAAATGATGCATGATACTCTGTGTTAAAATCATTTGGGGTTATTGCATAATTTACACATTCATAATGAAAAATTAATTTTAAAATAACAGTTGGAAAAACATTTTTACAACATTACCTTTATAGATTCCATTAAATCCTCCATGAACTTCTCCAGAAGAGGAAATCTCTTCTACATGTCCTCCATTATCAGATGTAAAATATACCAATGTATTCTTCTCAACTTGGTTTTTTTTAAGCACTTCAATAATCTTGCCTGCCAAATGAATCAAATAATCATTAGATTAAGATTATTTTCATAATTCTCAACAAGCCTTGACTATGTAGCCATATTGGCATGGGCATATTTAATTACAAACTGCAATTAATATATGCAAAGATTAGTAAACCATGTCAGGAAATTTCAACTTACTATGCAAAATTTACTGTGAAATGACAGAAAAGATTGAAATCAGTTTGGTTGTGAAGACGTACAGTATAGCACCTTTTTATATACTGATGGCATGTTTAGTGAGGTCTCTTTTAGTTTAGTGCAAACTGAACAGTACTTTAGATTCATCCATTTTATTTGTCTGTATATTATTTTGTGTTTTTAAATATGTGGTGGAAATACTATTTATAATTGTGGGGAATATCTGGGTAAATTTCTATGTACGTACGTTAATATTTGGTGCTGTTAGTATACAAGTCTAACATACTATAGTATGGATCTCAGTTTACTATAGTACTACTACACTAGACTATAGGCTTATTGTGCTGGAACAAATGTCTGATGCATTCACTATTAAGAATTATTGAGCGAAACATATGCAAACCACCTAAAAAGCTGATTAGAGCAAGCTGGTAGCAAAACAAACATTTGAATTGATCCAAGGTGGGGTTAAAGACAACACTGCTGGACAGAAAACAAGTTTCTTGATCTAGCAATTCTCCTTCTTGAATTTATCTTATGATTTTTTTTTACATAAAGCAAAAACTATGAAAAGAGTCAATAGAGTATGGGTAGAGTAGAGAACATGTGTGTTTCCAAGGGTCATAACTGACCCATGCAAGTCTCATGGCTTTCATTTAATTGACCAGAAGTGATTTGACATCACTTACCTTGTCAACAAAGTAGGAGAGGGTTTCTGGAACACTATATGATGCATGAATGCAATCCCAGTTTTCAGGTAAGGCATGCTCTATACAAACTTTTAACTACAAGTTAATATAAAAAGGGGTGTGTCAGACCAGTTTGGGTAACTAAGTTCCGTTTACCAAGAGCACTGGGTCAAACTCTGGTGTTTATTAGACTACACAGCCATGTTTAGACTACCTACACAGCTGCTGTAACAGGAACATGGGGGTTAATCTATGAAAATGGAGATTGCTAATACTTAGATATCTGGCTGCATATCTATTTTTGTGACTTTAATTGGGCTTTTTTAAAACCCCTTTCCATGTACTTCATTTTTAGTTTCTTGATACAAAGTGAATTTTTCATCACTATTGATCACTTCACTATTCCCTAATATACCAAATACCTGTAAATCAATCCAATTTTCTGTCTTCTGTTATTTATATCTTAATTCCCTGACAATCAAACAACAATATTTCCTAATATCTGCAGTTAATGTCAAGCTCATTCACCTTACCTTTTCAATATGAAAATTACTTCTAACTAAAACTTAGGGGAGCTGCAATGGGGACCAGGTCATTGCTGATGTCCTAGCTCTTTGGCATTGTGTAACACACACCTCAGGGTTAGTTCACACCATATGCAGTGCGTTCCGGTCCGATTCTGGCTGGAACACACTGCATCACATTGCGGCCGGCTCACTTTTTTGCCGGGCTGGAGAGGGCCATTGAAGTGAATGGCACCATAGCCACACCCTCTGGCCGCAATGCAATCGTCCACACGGGATCGCAAGGCACATTGTGCCTGCAGTGCGTTCCGTTGCGGTGTGATCAAAATGCTGCAATGCAGTGCGTTCTGGCCAGAATCGGAACGGAATACACTGCATATGGTGTGAACTAACCCTAGATGCTCCAGACCTGCAATCTAAAATTTCAGCTTTTATAGAGGTGGTCACACTTGCTGATGATCAATTAATCAAGGGCATGTAATTATCAGCGTCTGGCTACTACTTAGCCTCTTAATTACTATGGAAGCAGTATGGGTGGATTCACACCATTTCCCAGACCAGATCTGGAATGCAGTGCATCACATTTTGCCACATTCCCAGAGCTGTGGATTGTTTTGCTTTATTTAGCTTAAAATGGGCTCTCAGGTGTGTTGCATGCATTTATATGTGTTCCAGACCACAACAAAATGAGACATGCAGTATTTGTCTGGTCTGGTCTGCAACCGACTGTGCTGGTGTGAACAGAGGTCAGAAAAAGCATAGAAATACATTAGGATGCATTTTGGGTCCAGAAACAATCTGGCCTGGTCTGGAGATGATGTGAATGGATCCTTAGGACCGTCTAAGGACCTGATGTATTTTATTATGTTCTGATACTTAAAACCATATACATCAAAGAGGGTGTACTTTCTTTTTATTTTTGTTTAGACTGGGCTACTTCTTTAGCTCTCTGAGCTTCCAGGCTTATTGCAAGCAGTGCTAAAACTTGTAATTTAAAAAAGTGCAGTCAGTACCATTTCTAGCTACTTGCTTTATGTTACAATGTACTACATTTTTTCTTATCATGGTTTAATATTAGCATTTTTTTAAATTCATGAAAACCCCAGTGTTTCAGCTTTTGCTAATACTATATGACATTTACAGCAACACCTACAGCATGCTTGGCATCAGCAGAGAAAGACAACTGATAAAGAATGTATTAAGCTCTTGTAATACAGGAAAAAACTAGGTCATGCTGTGACTGCCTCTCAAGGGAAACACACATAGAGGAATGCAAACGAAATACTATTGATAGAAGAACAATACTGTTGTTAAAATGCTGTTCTTAGCTAAACTCAAATGCTTATTCCATTAGTATGTATTAGTTGTTTTTTTTTTACTCCTAATTTGAATAAAAGGTAGCAAAAATTCCAAATTAAATATTTCTTCAATAGGTAAAATTGCACTTGGTAAATCTAGAAACCGGGGAGATATCATAAACACAATTTAGTGCAGTTATATATGTATTATAAACAATACATGTATCCTTATATAAAACTAGTGTATGTACCAGAATCCCTCTTAATATCAAGTGGGTGAGCCAATCATAAATTAGTTCTTGTGCTAAGTGCTGGTAATCTCCTGAACATGTTTACAAGAACTGAAGCCAATGGGAAGACCTCATCAGTGTGCTTCTGATCCTTAATTTTCCAATAAGGGGATAGGGTGGGCTGATGACCAAGCTGTGACACGTAAACCTGTAACCCCCCCCACACACACACTTACCTGTGGTAAGTTGTCTCCTCTGCCAGGACCAGGCACATGCTCTGTTTTCTCCAAACTTACTGGTCCTGGGGGAGGGTACTGAGGGCAGAGGAACTGTAGGCTCCTCTGCCATCAGCCAAAGTGTGACTGTGGGAGCAGGGGAGGCTTGCTGCAAGTGGTGTGCATCTATGGACGCACACAGCTAGGCGTGGGAACACGCACACATAGGTGTCTCCTCACTAGCCAGCTAGCTGATAGAGACACCCGCACACAGGGAGGGTAGTGGTTTGGAGACAACTAGAGAATCAGGAAACTAAAAAAATTAAAGAAAAAACAAAAGGAAGTTCAATCAAGTCTGACCCTCATAATAATAATAATAATAATAATAATAATAAAAAAAATAAAGTTAGGTCACCAGCCCTGTTGAGCTGTTTGCTAGGGGTGCATAATTCCCAAGAGTGGCTAACCAGAATTACATATTTTTGGCAGATATAATGGTTTATATATAAATGATCTAGTGGTATATTTTCCTGTTTATCTTGAGCACTGTCTTAAACAATATGTTCCATACAAGAGATACATTGATACATGATCTGAGTAATTCTGGCACAACTGTCCAAAAATCTGACCACATTAGGCCTGAGAACAATCACATCAGGTTTGTTCCAATGATCAGATCCTTTACTTGGGTGGGTTAAAATATTTCAGATACTTTTCTATGTATCGTATGTTACTAATTGGAACAAAGCTACCTCCAAAATTTAAAAGACAAAAATCACCATCATCAAGCATACGTAATTTCAGGTAACAATTTAAAGGGACTTATTGGCTTATTATAGTGAGCTGCACCAGCACCTGAATTGAATGCAACAAATCAAAAAAAAAGCTAATTTGATAGCCAGAAATCACAGAAGCATAATACTTCCTGAAATAGCGTAAGCTGAACTTCAGGTTTAACCTCTTATGCTTCATTACACTGCTCCAGCTTGACCCAAAGTAAGTATGCATGTCATACCTGAGAGGCCCACTGAGATCCTGTAAAGCACCGTAGTAGTTGGTGCCACTACAGTGCTGACAGTGATCTTCCATGTTCTGTTACTGAGCTGTGCAGAGCGATTTACCTGATTCTCTAAAAACACAGAGGGTTGTCTTGAATACAATATGGTTTTTGATTGGAGGAGCAGCAGATTGTGACATTGTAGCCCCTAATCCAATCAGAGATTGCCTTATAGTCACTGATAGCAAATACTAGGCGTTCTCTAAATGGCCACTGTGCGAAGTGAGTATACCCCTGTGTTTTTAGAGCAGAGGGGAGGCTGCTTAGGAGAGTGCCCTACAGGATGTGGAAGATCAAGGTCAGCACTGTAGTAGCTTGGGCTACAACAGTGCTTTACGGGATCTCAGTAGCCTGCTCAGGCATGGCATATGCAAACTTTCATTGGTTCAAGGTGGATAAACGTGAGCATACATAATGTTATACCTGGAGTTCAGCTTTAACCTCCTGGTACTAATCAATATTTTAAGGAAGATTATATATGGTTGCAAACAAAGCCTCCATTAATAGAAAAGCAGCCATATAAGTAGTTTTTCACTTATAAAAAATGGGATATTCAACAAGCACATAAAAATAATACTCTGACTGGCCTCTATGCACATACCAGTGCCTTCAGTGTCTTTAAAGCTAGTAATTGTAGCATATAATGTGCATACACTTTAACACCTTCTGCAAATGATTCTGTAAATAACTGTTCGTATCAAAGCTCTTACAAAGCAGACCTTTCCATGCATAGCAATTACTCATCAGCCAGCGCATAAAGCATTTCTGTTGTCAAAGTCTCAAATTATCTCATTTTTTTATCTGCATCAACATGTCACTAAGCAATCCAAT